TAGGTGTAATAACAGTATTGACAGAATATAGGAAAATTTCTTTTTCTTAGGAGATGTCTGCTGCATTATTTCACAGTGAAGTGCCATGAAATCTACAACTTATTTTCAAATAGTTCAGCCAAGCAGATTTTAGGAATAGAGAAACAGAATGCATGCAGAAGCATACATGATGGTTTGTTAACCATTCTTGAACTAGATAGGTAAGAGTACTCAGTGGACTACTTTTTCAACTTTACTTTTGGCTTGAAACAATTTTTTTTATTTTAAAGTCAACTAGTTTAAATCACCAAGGAGCTCTGATAGCATAGTGGTTACGAATCGGGCTGTGAACCTTAAGGTCAGCAGTTCGAAACTACCAGTTGTTCCACGGGAGAAAGATGAGGCTTTCTGCTCCCGTAAAGATTTACAGCCTTGGAAAACCTGTGCAGGGTCGCTATGGGTCAGAACTGACTCCACGGAACACAACAACAACAGTTTAAATCTCCACGATGAAATAAAAACACAAGCTGTGGGCTGGGCAGGCACACGGGCAGGCAAAGCTCTAAAGCTTTGTCTAGCCTTTAACAATGGCACCAGGGTCCACTTGAGCTTCCTCTGTTTCTTGACTTCCTTTGCATAACCCAGAACCAGACAACCTGAAAACACCACGTGAAATAGATTCCTAATGTGTTTACCTGTGTTTTGGAGCACTGTGAAAATCTCCAGATAAGATAAATAGAGAAGCTTGGGGCAGAACTGTATTCTATTCATATTTTAGCTCTGGAGTGCTATTTGTTATTTTTAAGTGCCATCGAGTCAGCTGTGACTCATAGTGACCCTGCGGAGAGTTTTCAAGGAGCGACTGGTGAGTTTGAACTGGTGATCTTGCAGTTCAAACTGACTTTATGGTCCAGTGCTTCTCCTACAGCGCAACACCAGGACTCCATCTGGAATATCAATCAGTAGTTTTTTTTTTTCTCCCTTTGCAATTCATTCATTTATTTAAAATGTTTATTGTGAATTATGTGATAGTTTATATGGGAGACATTAGCTTTACATTCATCCTATTGTATATTGTTTCATTGTCATGGTTGCATCCCCTCCATTCATCATCAACCAACTTAAAGGTATACCTTGCAAGCCTGCCCCCCCCCCCCCCCCGCCACACACACACACCCATACCTCTCTGGGTCTAGAGTTCCCAGCCTCTCCATCTATCCACATCATTCTCTCTGCCTCCATATCTGGCATCACTGCTTCTCTGGGTAGGGTCCTGCATTCCGTGCTTCTTCCTTGATGGTCCCAGGGACCTCTGCTCCTGGACAGCAAAGTCAACCATTCCCCTTGTTTTGCTCCAAAATGTCTACCTTTACATTTCCAACCCTCACTCAAATAGTATTTTTTTGTTTTTTATTAAATCTGAAATTTGTTTTTGTTAGGTGCCATCGAGTCAGTACCAACTCATAGTGACCTTATGCACAGCAGAACAAAACACTGTGTGATCCTGGGCCAACCTCACTATCATTGCCATGCTTGAGCCCATTGATGCTGCCATTTTGTCATTCCATCTTGCTGGGGGTCTTCCTGTTTTTCTCTGACCCTCTACCTTACCACATATGATATCCTTCTCTAGCAACTGGTCCCTCCTGACAATATGTCCAAAGTATGAGAGACAAAGTTTGGCCATCCTGGCCTCCAAGGAGCACTCTGGCTACACTTCTTCCAACACGCATCTGTTGGTTCTTTTGGCAGCCCATGGCACTTTCAGTATTCTCCTCCAACACCATAACTCAAATGTGTCAATTCTTCTACGATTTTCCTTATTCACTGTCCAGCTTTCTCATGCATATGAGGTTATTGAAAATACCATGGCTTGGATCAGGTGCACTTAGTCCTCAAGCTGACATCTTTGCTCTTTCAACACTTTAAAAAGGTCTTGTGCAGCAGATTTGCCTAGCGCAATATGTCATTTGATTTCTTGACTGCTGCTTCCATGAGTGTTGATAGTTGATCCAAGAAGAATGAAGTCCTTGACAACTTCAATCTTTTCTCCACTCAGGTGATATTAATTATTGGTCCAGTGGTGAGGATTTTTGGTTGTTTTTTTTTACATTGAGATGCAATCCATAGTGAAGGCTGTGCTCTTTGATCTTCATTAGTAAATATTTTAAGTCTTCTCCATTTTCAGCAAGCAGGGTTATATCATCTGCATATCGCATGTTGTTAATGAGCCTTCCTCCAATCCTGATGCCATGTTTTTCTTAATATAACCCATATAATCTGGAATGTAGTGGGCATTAAAAAAAACAAAACAAAAAAAACTGTTGACTGAAAAAATGCATATTAAATAAAGAGGCTGACTTAATTTGAGAAATGCCTAGGAAAGTGAGGGTTTTGAAACAAAGTGACTCTCTTCAAATCTCATAGATATTTTTTCTTCAACTGAATAGACTTGAACTAACTAGGGGAAACTAAAATTAATATTGGGGTGAGAAGTAAGGGAAAGGCCTGTTTTAAATTTTTTTCTTCTATGCATGTGATAATGACTATGTTTCATACTGGTTTTGCTTTCTAAATGTAGATATTCTGAATTAATGATCAAAGCACTGTAGTGGAAGGCACTGTAGTTTTTCCTACACAGAGGGAAATTTTTAGTTTGGTTAGAAATCTTCAGAGGGTGGCATGTGAAATGATGCTTTTGTTCCTTGGTGAGCTATGAGTTGGGCACTTAATTATGTAAAAAAATATTTCAAGAGAGCAGTTGCATAATCCCCCAGAGAGTAATTATTGTCTGTCTTGGCAGAATGTGAGGCTTTTAATCTGTAAATAAGCTAGTCTATGGGAAGAGCCACATGCAGAGTGAATCTGTGTCCTAAAGAAAGGTCTCTTATGAATTTTTAAAAAATGAAAACAGTTCCTGAATATGCTGATTGGCTGTTGTCTTGGTGCCTGGAATGGTTTAAGATGCCTCTCCAGTGGTTTTAACCCATCCTGAAATATTCAAGTCTCTAAGAAGGATTCCTGTAAAGAGTAAAACTGTGACTGAGTTAAACCCATAAGAGAATCAGAATGTTTCAAAAGTGGAGGAAGTAGAATGTGTGCTTTCTGCAAATGTAACAAACAAACTAAATAACTCCCAACAAGCCAAGATAAAGTAAAAACAGTGGCAATGCTTTAAAAAAAAAAAAAAAAAAAGATGTAATTTATAATCCGTATATTGCTGACTTATTGGTGGTATTCTTTGTATGCTCTTTGTTGGGTACCATTGGGTTGGCTCCGATTCATAGTAACTCTGTGCACAGCAGAACAAAAGGCACCATCTGTACCATCCTCACAATCATTGTTACACTGGAGCCCCAGTTCTGCCACCACTGTGTCAGTCCATCTCCTTGGGGGTCTTCCTTTTTTTCACTGACCCTCCATTTTACCAAGCATGATGTCCTTTTCTTGGGATTGGTCCCTCATGGTAACGTGTCCAAAGTCTGAGAGGTACAATCTTGACATCCTGGCTTCAAAGTAGTATTCTGGTTGCACCTCTTCCAACATAGATTTGTTTGTCCTCCTGGCAATCCATGGTACTTTATATAGTCTTCTCCAATACCATAATTCAACTGCATCGATTCTTCTACAGTCTTCCTTATTTACTGTCCAACTTGCACATGTGTATATATGTGCTGTGTTGTTTTTGTTAGTAAGTGTCATGGAGTTGGTTCTGACTCATAGCGACCCTGACTAGGACTTCTGAGGAGTGGGTGGTGACTTTAAACTGCTGACTTCATAGTTCTAACTGACCTTGTGATCCAATGCTTATCCTTGCTGTAGCAGATAATATTTCCAAAAGGAATGAATGCACTTTAAGAGTATGTGCCTATTGTGTTTAGGTGAATCTGAGTCTTTTGGATAATGGAAGTGAGTTCTGACTGTTGATGTTAAGTTATCAATAACATCTACTCCCTTCCTTCTGTCTGACATTAACGTCTACACTTGAGTACTACCACCATGTCCACTCCTCTTTTCCTGCTCAAGGGGTTCATCCAAGTCTCTAGTACAGACCTGTCTCTTTGACTCTAGGCATATATAACTAATCATCTGCCCCACATCTCATTGGATGACTAATAGGCATTTTAAATTTAACATGTTAAGCATCTAACATCTGGTCTTCCCATAGTTGTATCTAGTCTGAATTACTACCAAAACCACCTATCTTGTCTCCCAGAGGGACCCCTTTAAAACACCAAGTTTTAAAACCTGTTAAAACAAATTTTAAAACATGCTTAAAACACTTTTCAGACAGCTATTTGCTAGGTGTCCAATTATTTCCAATCACAGAGTCAAAGTCTTGTCCTACAAGGCATTTCAACATCTAACCCTGTTACCTCTCTGACCTCACCTCCTATCCTATTCCTGTGACTTATTGCACCTTAGGTGCATTACCCTTTTCTTGTCTATACCAAGCTTCCTCAGACCTCAGGGCCTTGGTGCAAGCTGCTACTTCAGCCTGGAATACTTTGCTTGTTGTTGAGTTCCTTTTTCTCTCCTTGTGATGAGTGAAGTTTGATGGAAGGCAGAGATTGTGTCTGCCTAGTTCACAGCTGCTTCACCTGTGCTCAGAGATGTGTAAACCTGGGAGATAGTGGGTACTCAATAATATTAAGAGTCCCTGAGTGGCACAAACCATTAATATTCTTGGTTCATGAATTCCTGAAAAGATGGAGGCTCAAGTCTCCCCAGAGCTGCTCTAGAAAAAAGGTCTTGTGATCTATTTAAAAAAAACACCACAAAACCCAACCATTGAAAACCATAGGGCACACAGTTCTTCTCCCATGACTCGCATGGTATCACCATGAATTGAAGCCAACTCAGGAGCAACTGGTTCAATAAATACTATTTAATAAGTAATTGAGAAGCAGTCACAGAAGCTGATTCCAAGCCTTTTTTATATATATCATTCTGGGTATGATTTGGGTATTTAACCTTCACAACGATTCTCTGTATGCTAATAGCTATTTTCCTTCCCTCAGTTTCTCTGTTTGAAGAACATAAGGACCTTTCTCACTGCCTGTTGCGAGACGTTTGGAATGAGAAAAAGTGAACTCTTTGAGGCATTTGACCTGTTTGATGTCCGTGACTTTGGAAAGGTAATTACATTTTATTTAAAAAAATATGTTATTGGACATTTTATTACATACTTATGGTTTCTTATCTTGCTGAAGTAGGACATGCTGCTTAAATGACTTAGATATGTGCAATATTTAAGCATAGTTAAATTTATTATATAGATGGTGGTGGGCCATTGAGTCTATGACAACTCATAGCCACCCTGTATAGAGTTTCCAAGGCTATAAATCTTTATGGGAACAAAAAGCCTCATCTTTCTCCTGTGGAGCAGGTAGTAGATTTGAACTACTGACTTTACGGTTAGCAGCCCAACTTGTAATCTACTACACTACCAGGGCTGCTGTCATATAGGTGGCTCAGTAAAACAAGAAACACAAACATAAGCACAACAACCACAACAAAGACAAAGCAACACCATCCAAAGCAAATAGCACTGTCATCTGTCTAAAATGAATTAGAGCTGCATTCCAGAAGTGTCTTAGTTATCTACTGCTGCTATAATGGAAATACCACAATTGGATAGCTTTGTTGTTGTTGTTAAGTGCCATGGAGTTGGGTCCAATTCTTAGCGACCCTGTGATGGGTTTGTGCCATTGACCTTTTGGTTAGAAGTCCAGTGCTTTTCCTACAGCTCCACATTACCAAGAATTTTTATTCTCTCACACTCTTGGAGGATAAAACTTAAGATTCCAAGTGCTGGGTGTAGGGGAAGGCTTTCTCTTTGTTGGACCTGCGGAAAGGTCCTTGTCTCCGGTCAGCATCTGTAGGTCCAATATTCCTTGTAGAGCTCCCTACGTCTTGGCATCAATCTTTTCCTGATCTAGGATCCTGTACAGTTCAGGAACCTTAGGTCTAAAGGTGGTATTACTCTTCTGGCTCAGTAATAGTAAGTTGGTCCCATAGTCTCTGCTCATTTCTCTTTTCCTTTTATATCTCAAAAGAGATTGACCCAAGATACAACCTAATCATGTGGATTGCATCTGGCCTCATCAGCATCATAGAAGTGAGGGTTTACAACACATCTGATAATCACATCAGATCGGAACTGATCATATCAGATCACATCATAGGAGGGATTTCATCACGTTAGAACTCACCTTGGAGGTGATAACTACATACTAATGGCTAAAACACTAAGAATTCTGATCCAACCTAATTGGCACAACTTTAACTCTCACGAGAGGTTTTTTTCTTCTTCCTTACTGGCTGCCTCAGAGAATAGGATTAAAGTTGAGACTGTTCTGCTATCCCTTTTCTACACTGATTCTTGAGACAGTGACTTGGAGAAGACATGAATTCCTGAAATGTTTCAGGTCATTGATAACTCCTTCTGCTTGTGTTTCAGTTGATATTTGTTGGATTTTAGTGATTTTTATATGAAAATTATTTTACTATTTACTGATATCAATTGTATGGACACCAAACACATGTATATGATTGGTGTAAGAACTCATCTTCTCCGAGTTATGGTTATTTTTGATGAAGCAATTAGGAATAAAGGTAAACCTTTGGTGTGTAAGCAGCTGGAAAACTATCAAATAATTGAAGTGACATCAATTATTTGATGTCACTTTAGTCCCTGATGACATAATTGTATTATGAATCTAAGTACATAAGAAGAAAAAAACTAAATGATGTTAAGAAGATTGCTCTAAAAATCTGCTCATTCAGCTGAGGACTCTAGAACCTTGGAATGAGAAAGGCTGTGTGCACCGGCGGGCAGGAGGCTGGCTTGCAAAATATGCTTTTTGATAGTCGTTTAAACGAATATATATTTTCTGTGTGTTTTGTTTACATAAAAAAAAAAAAAAAAAGGAATAGTGGTAAATACTGTTAACTGATGGTGAATACTGTTCACTGATGGTGCATGGTGGAGATTATAATCATTGCAAAGAAACAAAATATGATTGGTTGAGTACAAAGCTGATAATTTGTCCTGTAAACTATCACTCAAATTACAATAAAAGCTTAAAAAAAAATGCCCGCATTAAAAGTTACAGGCTTTCTATAAGTCAACTACTAGTATCTTAGTGAGCACAATGGCTCTCTGTAGGATAAGCACTGTACTACACTGAACCAAACTCTATGGCACATCACCACCACTACCACCACTACCACAAAGGACAAGGTCAGTGGTTCTAGCCCACAGACCACTCCTAAGGAGAGAAAGATGAGGCATTTTGCTCCCACAAAAATTAAAGCTTGGAAACCTTATTCAGGGTCACTGTGGGTTGAAACTGTATCAAAGGCATTTAACAACAACAACTGTTATCCGAACAAGACTATTTGGATGATGCATTGTTTGGTTTCTAAGATGTATTATTTGGGCTGTAAATAAACAGCAGTCAATGGATTGCTTTTCTTGGCAATAAGAATGAATAGAACAGATTTGAAACAGAAACCTAAGAGATTCTGAAATATACCAAGTACAGTGAAGCTGCTCTGCTAGGGAGACAGAAGACCTGGGTTCTCTCTCTGGCCTTTCCAAGACTCACTTTGTGGTCCCATCACCTGCTTCATCAGGCATCAGTGTACCTGCCAGCGTGGAAGACTGTATAAGTGCAAATGGGTATAAGAATATTTTTAAGATTCCTTTTATCTTTGGCAAGCTCTGATTGAACTGTCTTGAGGTCCAAAAAAGTAGTGATGTAATATGACAATAAATAGAAGGAACTGAAAACCTAGCCCATAGTAAGGAAATGTTAGCTTATTGTCTATGACTATGGAGTGAAACGGTGAAGAAAAAGAGGAATCAGGTAGGTAGAAACTCAGATGGGGGGATAGTCCTCAAACTATTGGGCCTGAAAAATAGCTTAGACTATTTCTGTTTTTATTTTTGGCACCTCCTTTTAAAAAAACTCTTTGATTTTACTTTATTCTCCCCTTTTTTGTTTACAGGGAAATGAAAAGTAGATTCTCTTCACAATAGCATTTGGCAGCCATCACAGACTTGGTGCATGGCTCTACCAAACCCAAACCTGTTATCAAATTGATAACAACTCACCAGCTCTATAGAACAGAATAGAACTGCCCCATAGGGGTTTTTTGTTTTGTTTTGTTTTAAATATTTTTTTGTGAATTATGTGATAGTTTACATGGGAGAAGCCATAGGGTTTTTTTGTTTTGTTTTTTTTTAAACAAGTTATTTCACATTTTGATATTTTTGTTTAATAAAGGTGTCTATGATTCTGTAACAATATGTTTGGACTTATCCTTGTATCCAACAGACAATAGATTAACAAGGCCATAGGGTTTTTAAGGCTGTAATCTTTACAGAGTTCTGGTGTGGCTCTGTGGGATAAAGCACTGGACCACAAGGTTGGTTTGAACCACAAGGACGGTGGTTCAAACTCACCAGCTGCTCCTTGGAAACCCTATACAGGGTTGCTATGAGTTGGAAGCAACTGGATGGCACTTAACAGCAACAACAATCTTTACAGAAGTAGATTGCCACATGCCACATCTTTCTCTTACAGACCAGCTGGTGGGTTTGAACTACTGACCTTTAGGTTAGCATATGAGCACTTTAACTAACCACTCTGCTACTAGGGCTAGGTAGGTACATGGCTGTAAACCAAAAAACCCAAACCCACAGCCATCAAGTTGATTCTGATTTATAGGAACTCTAATAAGATAGGAAAGAGCTGTCCCAGAGGAATCCCAAGGCTGTGATCTTTATAAGAGAAGACTAGCGCATCTTTTTCCCATGGAGCAGCTGGTGGGTTAAAACCACTGACATTTAAGTTAGCACCTAAGTGCTTAGCCACTGCACCACCACAACTCTGTTGTCATTGTTAAGTGCTGTCAAGTTGGCTCCAACTCATAGTGACTCTGTATAGGGTTTCCAAGGAGCGGCTGGTGAGCTTAAACTAACCGCTGACCTTGCAGACTAGCACATTGACCCTAGTCTGTATTCTTGCTTTGTTTCTGGGGGCTTGCTGTTTTGTGAAAGATTAAAATTTAAAAGGAAAAAAGATCTTAAAGTGACACTTCTATGGATGTGTATATCAATAGGCTTATTCCTCATTAACCATATTTGTTGTTGTTAAGTGCCCTTGAGTTGATTCTGACCCATAGCGACCCTGTATAGGGTTTCCAAGGAACAGCTGGTAAGCTTGAACCACCAACATTGCAGTTCAAACGACTTTGCAGCCTGATGCATTAGCCCGCAGCGCCATACCATCAAAAAGTTCATGGAAAAAGAGATAAAAAAGTAATAGATTTTTTACAAACTTTTTGATGCCCCCTTGTATTTTCCTCTCAAAACTGATATATATAGAACTTTAGAAAAAATATTTCATTCAAATAATTAATTCAACACAGAATTTTTTTCTTCAAAATCTTTGTTTTTTTTTTTAAGTTTGTCAAGGAAATACTAATTTTTCCAATCATATTTGCAAGAAATGGTACTGATAAGGATTGAGACATTATATAAATGTTTTCAAAACTTGGGACTTTTTTTTAATATAGTTTAATAACAGTGTCTGATTGATTAGACAAGAGCTTTGTTGGCGATAGTTGAGTGTAAAGCAGTGCTTTTTTCTTGTACTGGTGTGTTCCTCATGTGGAAATGGCTACTTAAACTATTTCAGCAGTGGTTGATGTGAGTCGAAATGGACTCAATGGCAGTGGGTTTGCTATTTTGGAATGCTGAAACAATTACATTTGGAGTTGTGGTTTACAATTTGAATTTACAATTAGGGCTGTGAACCGCAAGGTCAGCAGTTCGAAACTACCAGCTGCTCCGCGGGAGAAAGATGAGGCTTTCTACTCCCGTAAAGATTTACACCCTCGGAAACCCTGTACAGGGTCGCTATGAGTCGGTTCCGACTCCACGGCACATAACAACAACAACAACAACTTTAAAGTCACCTACAGTTTTGCTACTGCCAAGTTTGACCTAAATAAACCACTGAGCATTAAAGAAATTGTGTGGTGTTGTTGTTAAGTGCCATCGAGTCGATTCCGACCCTTAGCGACCCTGTATAGGGTTTCCGAGGAGCAGCTGGTAAGCTTGAAC